ATATTCGAGGTTAATTGGAGTCATATGTGGTCACAGGGGAAAGGAGGGGAGGGGGAATATCAGGCAGACGGTTACTTTGAAATATCGAAAATTATACTGATGCCGGCATTATCTACTAATATTGGACGGTTCGCGAGAGTCATTGCTTCCGTCAAATAATATGCATGTGACACGTCGCGCGTTATATAATAAAGCCTGATCGACTTAATGTTCTTTATGATATGATAAATACATCCAGCGCGTAGATAACATTCGAATGGCAATCGAACGCGATTGTTATCGGGTCCGATTGTTGCTCGCTCGCTGGTGCATCTCCACTAAATAAATTTGATGCAAATAACATGTGGTGACTAATGGTAGAAGTGAACGATAGACCGATGTCGATCGCCCGGAATTAATAACAATAATAATACGTCGGAAATAGCATTTGTAAATGCTAGATGTTTCTTTTGCGATGGATAATGTAGATCCCTAATCATCCGTTTCTGTTTAAAATAAATAATACAGATTTAAGTGAACATATTACTTTAATACCTATCAAATAAATATTTTTATTTTTTATATATATTTCCCAAAATGCAAGCTGTTTTTTCCAATTATTTAAAGTATTCTTGTGATGTAATTTATAAATACAAAAAATGTATTACCTGTAGATTATTCTTCATAAATTTTTATACATAATGTATTTACTTAAGTGAAAAAAACATTTACTGTTGATAGTACTTCAATAAAAAATTGTTAAGAATGAAATTCATGAAATGAAATCGGATTTTAAAATCACGGGAGCTTTGTGCACATTTACATCGAATTTCCGTATATTATGTATTAAATTTCAAATAATGGTTACAAAAAAATTGTGGATAAAACGATGAGCAAATTCTTAGTTCATTTAAAATTTTTACGCATATAAATACATAAGAAACACGTCATAAGCTTCATGTGAAAATGCTGTAGATCAGTGTAATCAGATACATTTCGTGGCCTAAATAGGTCCCGTGTTTCACGCCAGATTCCCGAGCGATCTTTTCACGGCGGGTGGTCCAAACAACGAATGAAAATCGAGGGGACTTTTAAGAGGGGGCTCGTGCGCGCATCGCGCTCGTTAGCACGGTCAACCAGCCTCGAGCCGACAGTAGCGGTTAATTGGTATTCGGTGAGGAGTACCCCAGTCTTTGACGGGTCTGTCCGGAGCAGCAACAGCAGCATCATCAACAGCAGCAAAGCTGCGGTCCGAGAAGCAGCTCGGTGTGTTTACTTGGCGGACAAAGACAGCAAGCCCGAAACGCCTGGACAATACGAGCCAACGGCCGGCTGGAGTGTCTGTCCTGAATCCTTCGCGGTCCAATCCTATTCTGAGATTTTCAAGCGTTACACCTAGTCTAATCGACCACCGCGATCGACACTATTGTCCTGTCCCGCGGCAAAGAGCCCTCCGCGAGTCCATGAACGCCTCCGCAAAATGTCGAACACGCAGACGATCTCCCTGGTCGAGTGCATCTCGCGATTTTTGTCCTCCCGCTTTTTTCCCTCTCCTTTTTCTCCCTTTTCTCTTCTTTATTTCATTCCTATTCCCCTTTCTCTCTTTTTTTTCCCGTTCGCCGGGCGTGACGACGTATCCATTTTTACCGGTGTCGAGGCTTTGCGTTTTCTCGAGTGGATTCCCTGCTCCCTTCTCAACCTGCCATATTCCTCTAGCAGGTATGCGCGAGCATTCACCCCGGCATGTGAATGCAGGTGTGCGCTGGGCCGAATAAGCCCAGAAGAGACGCGAGGATGATGGCAACTCGTGCGTCTCCAAGCTTCCTCGTCGTTGTAGTCGTAGTCGCCGTCGTCGTCGTCGTTATTGTCATCGTCCTCGTCCTCGTCCTCGTCACGAGACTCCACCACGGCAACTACTTCCGTCCGTCTGTCCGTTTCTCGTTTTCTACGAACGTTTCGTCATGCTTGTCATACACTTACCGCACGAAAGAGACCACGGTCAGGTAAAAATATTGTGACGGTCACCAGCGTTCGCCGTTATTGTTGGCCGCACTGCGCTCGCCATTGGCCATCGGGCGACGGCCGATGCGTATACATTTCTTCTTATCGAAGAAGAAACGGCTTGTACATTGTTGCGTCGATAACTCATATCGTCGAAGTCGACGTGAATTATGCCGAATAAAAATGCCGAAACGTGCACAGTGAAAAAGAACATTCCTGTTTGGAAAATATCCATATCCATATTATATAATTATATTATATAAATATATCCATAATATATCCATATTATATATCCATATCCATATTATATATCCATATCCATATTATATAATTATATTATATAAATATAATATAATTTATTTCTCGGGGACTCCCTAGAAAATATCTTTATTTTTCACATATTAATTCTTCGAATGAGTTTACGAACAGCGTTAAACTGAGATAATTTACTTGCAAACATATATTTTACAAACGATATTTATTTTGATGATAAAGCGTTATGTAAAATTTGGATTATCGCGGTTTCATATATAGACGTAAGTGAAGATAGTCGTGGAGAACGCCACGTTATTTAAATATCAACTGTTCTGTCTGTGAAACTCGAGTTACGTATAGAAGTTTATGTTTCGTCTCGTCGAACTTGATAATCAGTCGTACATTAATCACCACACGTGTGAAACCCAATGCTTTGTTTATTAATTGAGTATGGAGCGACGCGCACGTTGACCTTGAGAATATGAAAATAGCAAATAATATGTATTTATATTCTCGCGTGTGTGTTATCTCTACAAAATAGATATCTTTTATTCACTGCGTGTACCCATGATGTGTCTGTATGCCAAGGTATGAATCCAACCTGTGTACAAAATAATGCGCAGTCCGCACACAGTAGTTTGATTAAACCGGAATTTGAGAGTGAGATAATTTTTTATTCGAGGATTTCTTCATATTATTAATGTATCGCTCCTTTTCTGGTATGTCGTAAAAGCACCCGCTTTTTATGATAACATTAAGTTCGTTTGATAATCTTCTTGACTGACAGATTATTTTCCACAAGCATTTCATGATAAGTGCAGCGCATTACGTCGAGTACGATTTTATCTGCACAGTACATAAAGGGTAATCCCTCTAATATTTCAAATATGTAACATATTCATTTTTTCTTGTAAAGGAAAGTGTCCAGTAACCGACATTCGTTACGTCCGCCAATTGTTCCTCGGATCTTATCAAATATTAACGTGTACAAAAATTTATTAATAGTTTATCAATTATTACTTATTATTTATTAATTTATTTTTGTAAATCCTCGTATATCTTAATATTTGATAATATTCGCGTAAGAGTGCCGAAAACAAGCACAGCATCGGCTACTGGACGTTTCCTCGTATATCGTAAGAATATTTGTTCTTGATAACTTCTAATCTGCCTACTTATCTTTATTTGACAGATTTATTCTCCAAAAATATCTCGTGACATGATAAGCAGACACAACGTCGCGTTGTGTGCGACTTCATTCTGAAGTTAGAAGACGATTAGAAAATATGTAACATATTTATTATAGTTTAAATATGATACGTGTGTGTATATAAGTATATCTGGTCAATTCAAAGATATTATATATAACATTAAAAAAAATATAATCTTATCCTTAGCGGAATTTTCCTATATATAGGATATCTGACAACTTATGACACATCCATTATATGCAGATAGAACTTATTATTAAACTAACATAAAATTCATCATTTCGTAAGTAACTACTTAAAACATATAGTAAAAAAGACTGGTGCTTAATTGTGTAGTATTCTATTTGCGCACAACGGGTGTATCAATAATTGTCGAAGATCCCCTATATATACCTTCAAGAGAATTCTTCTATAAAATCCTGAAAGAAAAATATCCTGTAAGCACTATATATAAAGAGAAAGCACATTTATCAGAAGAGGAATACTCTTTCGGTAAAAGTTTTCACTTAAATTATTAGGATTACAGGGAATAGCAACTAAATAGCCTTGCAACTAGAGTCCTTTTTTCGTGGTGTTAGAATATTTTCCTTTTCGATTTAGAAGGATCTCTTCGAGGCCATACATAAGAGGATTCCGCCAGGGATAAGATTATATTTTGGCGGGTGTATATTTTAGTCGGATGTATATCATAGCCTACAAAGTATACATCACAGCAAAAGAGGATCCATTTGAGCGAAAGAGCATTCACTTATATAATTTTTATGACACACGACTTATATAATATACGTAAAGATGTTTGCGGTCAAATTACAGTGTATATAATCTCACTTGGTTTATCACGAATTGGTGGACGGAAAAAGATGACGCGTGCGTGCCGGATATAATTTGGTGGGCGTTTCAGTCCTGCTGAACGTACACCAACAAGACCGTGGCTATGATCGGCGGGTAGTCCGAGACTGTTCTGGAACGTTTCTCATCCGTTTGGACACGAGTTCACCCACGTGGGACCCCATTATCCTCAGCCCATAAACATTAAGCGGCGTCTCGCCGACGAATATCTGTTAAGAATACTATCGTGCCACCGTATTACAGCGAGAGAAAAGGCCAGGCTTTGTACCGGCAATCCACCGGCAGATAACGGGTGAGACATTCACATTGGACGTCACGTGAATAAGACCTCGCGCTGCCAGATCGTTGTTGGCCGAGACGGGAGATCGTCGGTGTTTGTTTGTGTAATCGAGGCACAGGCACGTAGTCACCTCTAATTATCACGGCGATGTGAATACACCAGGCTACCGCAAAGACTGGTTTTGGAAAGTGATTTCGTCAGCTGGGCGACTCCACTGACTCGACGACATTCCGTGCAGTCCGAGTAGTCGCTGGTAAAAATACAGGCGAGATCGAACGCGCGCGAACGGCTTCATAATTATTCAAACGAGTGAAATAATAGTGTATTTATAGAGTTGAAAGTGACTTGATATTATAAAGACTGTGTGTATTATTAATTTACACATGACCGTTTCCTACATAGCCATTACTTTATTTCTATTTTCTTTCTTTTATGCGTTATTTCTTATTTATTTTTGTGCGCGTGTGTATTCATATATGTAAATAACCCTTATTTATATACATTAGTATTCCTACATTTATCACACGGAAAATCGACTGGCTTATTGAAAATTTGTGCATTATCGCGGCATTGTGCCGTAAAATATATATAGCGACACACGTAATAATGTTTAGAAACGTAATAGCAATACATTACATGGCCTGTTTGCTGGTAATGATGTGGCAAATATGACGCAATGTTGTACATATTATGGAATCCCCACTTACGTGCGAATTACTGAAAGTTAAAACGCATCCGCTTCCACACAGTTTAGTAACAGTGTAGCCGTTGTTGAATTCGTGTCGTAACTATCGCGGCCGTTGTCTATCGCGTCGAGTGATTCACACGTTCGTTTTATTCTAGTTCTGATAGACACCGTTCGGCAACTATATGCGCAAGTGTGCAGGTATTTTCTCTAATCGCGCGTTATCCGTCTTACCAGTCATCTTCTCTCTCCGTGTTTTGCCGTATTAGAATATCACCTTATGCTTTGCACGTATTTATACCGGAGCATCGACCAATTATCGCAACACGCCAATCAGTTACGCGGGAAACGTGCGCGTAGAGCAAGCGGCGATGTAGCAATCAATCACAGCAACACAACCAATAAGTTACGCGATAATACACGACACGCATGAAGTAAGACGCGACGCGGCGTCCAGTCAACATCGCGGAAAAGATATCTCAATACTTCGATATCTTTGATTTCGAGGTTTCACGCCCTTCTTATAATGGGAACAAAAAACTGTGCAGTGTTTCACTTCATGCTAATTCCTTCATTATTTCGCAGAAAATGTGTCTTTATCAGAAAGACATTAATAATCTTGGTTTTGTTCATTTCTGTTAAAGTAAAGAGAAAATATTTGACAGTATTTCGGATGGAATAAGTGGAACGACATATTGTTCGAAACATTGTGTGTTCAGCGGGCAGTATTATCAGTGTCCAGGTGAGCGTTTGATGTGCGATATGAGAGGAATATATTTGTGGTAATGTGTTTGTAAAAAGTTCAGCATACTGCCAGTTTACGAAATATACTGAAGGACGGCACGGCGAAATCAAGTGGAAACTTTTATCTCGCTCAAATGTAAATATTTAGCGGAGACACTACCTAGAATCAAAGTTTACATGGAAAATCACTAAGAAAACGTAACGTTCCAAGTAAGTTGTTTATTCACCAGGTATGTATTTTCAAAGCACCCAATAGGCTTATTTTCAGTGGTAGAATTAAGGGCATACTTATAAATTCATCATTTGTTGAACAAAATTTTGTCTTTATATATTTTACTTCATTATTTAAACAATAAATATTAATCTGAAATTAATTTCATGACTATCTTGCCATATTTTATTCAGTACAATACTATTCACATTATAAAACAGCAGTTTTCTAGCCTACAAACGTTTCAATGTGGCAAGATAATCATGAAATTAATTTTAAATTGATATTTATTGTCTAAATAGTAAAGTAAAATATATAAAGACGAAATTTTATTCAACAAATAATAAATTTAGAAGTATGCCTTTGATGCCGCCACTGAAAATAAGCCTTGGGTGCTTTGAAAATACATACTTGATAAATAAATTCCTTAACTTACGTTACGTTTTCGACAATTATACAAAAACGATATAGTGTGAACACTATTCTTTCTTCTATTCTTAATAAGTAATATTTATAAGTTTCTCATTTGAATAATATTTACGAAGTTACACTGGAGTAATAGTCATCTATGTTGCTTCTGCTTTATAAGGTTATATATGCAAAATTGAGATGTTCAGTATGAAATTTCTTACGAACGGTGTAGACAAATCGCACGAAACTTCAACTACGAGTGCGTTTCACTGCAACAAACGTTAAAGTAAATTTTGGTGCAATCCTAAGCATTTTGGTTTAAGTGAATAAACTACTTAAGTTGCTGCGTAACGCGTCCGGCATTCTACATCATTCAGACGTCGTAAATATTCCTCTGTGCAAAAGTATCGTTCGTACGGTCGTGCCGCGAAACAGCTGAGTTTGTCGCTCGCTCGGCGCGCAGCGATATCGTAACCCTGTGACGAGCGCAAGACTCGTAACTGTTATCGTCAGCAACGAGGAACACAGCATATTCATTAGTGGTCTTGAGTGAGACAGTAAAATATGTACTTTGGATGAACGAGCGACGGCGTTCCTTCCTCTCTTTCACACTGCGTTTTGCAATCTCGCGTCGATAGGAGTGCTCGGCCTGTCGACACACGTATCCGCGGCAAGATATTCGCACAAGAACAAGATTCTGTTGTCGTACATCGCTTTCCTCTTCATCAACAATAAATCTGTAGTCGTATTTCGGTCACTGTGTTACTAGGTGTGTCAGTGAGTGAAATCAAATGAGAACCGGTCCGAGATTGTATCGATACATCGAGAACAAGTGACGTTGGCACGGCGATTCGAAATGTGGTGATCATCGACGTCATCGAGTCGTTAACCGAGATCTCATTGAATATTTGGAACAATGGGTAAGGAACTATTTCACGTCCCGTGTAAACATTTCACGCAATTATTCAGCAATTTTCTTGCCTCTTCTAATTCACGAAGCACACTTCTCTGCGATAATAAAAGAGATAAATTTATATCTATCTTTTCTGTCATATCTACCATTCGCTTATTGGTTATATTAATGATAATTGATACTGCTCAGAAGCAAGAATTGCTGCTAAATTTTTGATAATTGTGACATAATTTATACACGACTATTTATATAAACTCTTTCCGTGTTGTTTTTCAACACTATTTATTTTAGCGCAGAAATAATACATATACATTATTTATACGAGTTTCGAGCTGTAGACTTATATTTTGTGTACACACACGTGGAGGACACACATAAATGCCGCTGTTTTTTTTTCTTGAATTTTCGCGCAGGTATATAAACAAATTGTAATTTGTTAGATTAACGCAGATTAAACAAATAAACTATGCTCCGTTTTTAATAATGTTATTTCGCATATCCGTTATCATGGTTTTCCGAGTAATTATTGAGATAACGGCACACGTATCCGTTCCCATTGCATTACTAATTTATATTATCTGTATACAGTTCAACATACGCGCGGTATCGTTAATGTATTGATCTACAGACTGATAACTCGCAAATGAACACGTGAATTATTTAGAAACAAGCGAAGGGTAGAAGCAAAAATAATGCCTCATATATGAGCAAAATTTTACGTAGACCTCAAAGTTGCAAAGTCACTCTACTTAAGGAGGCAAATCGTTTCTTCAGGCTAAAAGAAGTGAAAAGAAGGAAAGGAACAATATTCGGGAATTAATTTAAGCATAACTATATTGAAAGAAAATATATTT